AAAAAAAAAAAAAAAAAAAAAAAAAAAAAAAAAAAAAAAAAAAAAAAAAAAAAAAAAAAAAAAAAAAAAAAAAACAGTAAAAAAAAATCTCAGAAATACAAGAAAAAAATTCCAAAAAATACAGAACAATCACAGAAATTTTTTCGAGATGTAGAAAATTAGGGTTTTGCAGAGGAAATGAGGAGAAATAAATAAAGTAGAAAAAAGGAATGGAAAAAATAAAATAAAATAAAATCAGAAAAAAAGAGAAAATTAAGATGGAAAAGTTTATTAGATAATTAATATTATATTTGGGAAATTGAAAGTATAGATTTTGGTTAATAACATGGTTCACGTCCGTCTTCGAAATTTATTTGAATTTAATGGTTGAGATACTAAATAATAATATTAAAATCTATGAAATTACGTAGAAAATATAATTTTTTTTAAAAATAAATATTAAATTCAATTATTTTTATTACATTTTTTTCCAGCTACTTGATTTCACACGTGCCAACTTTAGGACTCTCTTTGACCATTGTCTCTGAGTCTCGACAAAGGGAGACCAAAAGGATAAGGGAATGAAATTTTATAAAATTTAAAAATAAAATTGTTATGGAACGGATTTTTACGGTACAAATTTGGGTACCGATGACAAAGATAAAACAACAGGGAGCAAAGGTAATAATTGAGGCTCGACTCTTTTAGAGTCTTAGTCATTTTTTACTGCCTCGAAGGCTTGTCAGAGTCTTAGTCATTTTTTACTGCCTCGAAGGCTTGTCAAGGATTTGCCACGAACACGACTCTCCACAATGGTGAGCATAAGCTCTAATGACTTTACTTTGAGCTTCCTAAAAGGCCTCATACTAATGGGGAGTGTATTCTTAGATTATAAAACCATGATCATTCTCTAAATTAACCAATGTGAGACACTTTCATCTAACAAGTACGACCAATAAATTATATAATTAACGTAATATTTTATTAATTATATAATTAGCCCAACAATAATAATTTTAGTAAATAATACTATAATTAACGTAATTAAGTGTTATTTGTAAAATGATCTAAATATATATTAAAATAAACTAAACAATAAATTATATAATTTGTTAATCCAAAATCAATTAATTAGGTGTATTCAAAATAAAATTACAAATAAATTAAAAATATAAACAATAATAAAGTTGAAAAATATCAATTTCTTAAAAAAAAAAAAAAATAAATAAAATTTTAAAGAAATTTAATTTTATTAGGATGAGTATGGAGTATTATTATATAATTATAATAGCCTTTATAAGATAATATCATTAATATTATATTTTATATAGACGTGACATTTTATTAAAAAACTATAACATGGTTCAATTAAATAATCTATAAAAATATATTACGTAATTTTTTGCAAGTGGAAAATTATAATTTGAATATGTTACTTTAAATTAATACAAAAAATAATATATATATTTCATTAATTAGCACTTGATTTGATTGCATGAAATTTAGTTTAAAATATTAATCATATTTTGTTCAAAAAATAAAAAATAAAAAAATAAAATTCTGACGCTACTCTTCTTTGAAGGCTTCTTCACAGAACATTCTCTTGATTTTCCTTCGATTTTCACCATTTTTTTTTTCTCTCTGAAAGGAAACCAAGAAAACTGCAAAGCATTTTCAGACTTAGCCACAGAGATCGGGAGTTGAAGCCAGAAATCGGGCCAAGATGGGTCAAGCGTTTCGGAAACTCTTCGACACGTTTTTCGGCAACAGTGAGATGCGGGTATTATACTGTTCTCTAATTTTTTGTTTTTCTGAAGTATTTGTTAGAATTGGATTTGGCATCTTTACGTGGTTAATTTGATCCTGTTTATTACTGCAAGTTGTTGATTTCTTCTGTCATATTCTGGTGTTCAATTTGTCTCACGGATGGCTTAGGATTGTTGGCCGATGTTTACATAATCCTTTCGATTGGTTTACTTTATGTTTAGCGGTACTATTGTAATAGAGCTGAATGCTAGTGGGATTGGGAACTGCATGAGGTTTGGGTGAAATGATTTGGTTTCATCTGGCTAATACTAGTTCTGAGTAATTTAAATTTTCTTCTGGTTATAGGGGTTTCTCTTGTTGTTATAGCGAGTGCAATCATATATTGGTTATGTTTGATGTCTAATTTGAGATGGAGGTTGTAATCGAACTTTGGGACAGTGAGACTTCTGAAAACTCATCGATGTTGGTCTCTGAGTCGGAAATTCTTACAATTTTACTTGTTCAAGAACTTAGTCTCATGGATTCATGATTGATTGCTCAAACGTTATACTATGGGGAAATGGTTCATTTGTGACCCAATTTAGTAGTTGTAGATGTTAATTTGTTGCTCTCGACAATCATGATTGATTTCTAGGCATAAAGTTTAACATTGCCATTCGACCTAAGTAAGAGGTGTAGCAGTTTATTTATTCTGGAAAAAGTTGTTGCATAGTAGTTTTTATGATTTATTTTATAGAAGGGTAACATGTGTTCGAAAATCACGGTTCACAGGTCTTTGATTTTTTAAGAATTATAATTTGATCTTTAGTTATTTTTGTTCTACTTTTTTGAAAGCAAAACAATTTTTCGTTGATATTGTTGTACAATACATCTGATAGCTTTTCGCCTACTCTATATCTTCTGAACCCACAACATTCTGACAATATTAACAACAATCCAAAGAGAGATACCAAAATCCACACATTGTTACTATTGATTATACAGAAGAATAGTTTGGAAAATCTTTATCTAAAGAAACTCAAAGATTACGATGATATTTAGCTAATTTGAATGCTTCAGCCCAATCCTCTGCAATATTGTAATCAATTTGGTAATTCTTTCTAAGCGTATCAGATTTGACTGCATTTACCTATAATTGCCTTTTTAATAGGATACTTCTGAGAAAAAGCTGAAATAATAGTTGTCTAAACAGTTTTGGGCTTTTACTCTATTCACTTTATATGGCTAGGGCGAACTCGTGGATTACATTTCTATATTGCCTTTTAGGTACTCTATTATTTTTTTATCTGCTTATTTACAAATTATCATGCATTTTATTCCTTTTTCTTGAGCGGTTTAGGTTGTCATGCTTGGCTTGGATGCAGCTGGCAAGACAACTATATTGTACAAGCTGCACATTGGGGAAGTTTTATCGACGGTTCCTACAATTGGTAGGTTCTTCACAATTAAACGAAAAAAACTCAAATAGGGATTTTACCACAAAACTTTTTGATTGAGTTTTTATATCTCCATTTTGTGGAATCATAGCTTTTGTGCTAGCTAGTACGTTTCTTCCCTAAATCAAGGACAATGCCAGATGACAAGGAAAGAGACTTATAAGAGATCTAGGCTTTCTTTCATGAACTTCATTTATCTTACAAAAGTCTGGTATTTCGTTTCTTCCATAAACCTCACAATAGGGTTTTATCAAGTTTGTGGGAGTTTTCCTGTTTTCGGAGGCTGGGTCTGTGTTTCTTTACAATGGTTTCTGATGTTGTTCATTCATTTTTGTTAATGAAAGTGGTATCCTTATTAAGTAAATCTCAAAAGTTCTTTTTGTGTAGAGAGTAGGAACGATTGAGAAAGGAGAGAGGGAGGGGGGAAGGGAGTGTGAGGGGCTGAAGAGAGAACAAAAGAAGCCATAATTGCATCCTCGCTAATAGATACTTGTACCTCCTGTAGAATTATCAACCGAACTTAATATGTCCAAAGGAATACCCATAAGACCTTGTATCTCTCAGATGGTAGCATGGTTCATCTAGTTTCTTGTATGGGTTTTTTTGGTCTTTCTGGTGTCGTGCTAATAACTATTTCAATTCTTTGTGTCATTATTACTGTTAATGTTTTTTATGGCATTCATAGATGTTTGGTGCTTACAATCACAACCTGGTGGATTTTTTCTGTCAATGTGGTAGTAAATTGATTTTTCATTTTCCTCAAGTAGGTTTCAATGTGGAGAAAGTCCAGTATAAAAATGTTGTGTTCACTGTTTGGGATGTTGGAGGACAAGAGAAACTGAGGCCATTGTGGAGGCACTACTTTAATAATACAGATGGACTGGTAATGATTATTATTAGTATTGGATGTCAATGAGTCAGTTTGATTTTAGACTATAAAATATCATTATAGAGTTATTGTTTATGCTATGACTTCCTTTCTTGTTCAAAGAGCCTATCATCATTGTCTGTCTTATAAATTATTGTAAGATTATCTTACAGTCTCACCTAATATTCATCTGACAGAAACAAGTCCATGTACTTACAGCTTTATTCATGCAGATTTATGTGGTAGACTCCATGGACCGAGAGAGAATTGGAAAGGCAAAAACAGAATTTCAGGTTATAGCCCAAGCTTCATCGTGCCTTTAAGTATGGCAGTGTGAGCAACTCTTTATTGGCTGATATGTGATTTTTCTTTCAGGCCATCATTAACGATCCATTTATGCTGAATAGTGTCATATTGGTCTTTGCAAATAAGCAGGATATGGTATGTAGATCTCATCTTCTTCTGGTACATACTATGGAAACAATTAATGTTTTATGTCCATAATTTAATTATATATTTGGGATTGGGAAGACAAAAGATCAACGCTTCAGCCTGCTCCTCGTCACACACACACACACACACACACACTAAAACGAAGTACCTAGTGCATATGTGATGAAGGTCTGAGCTAGTCGTAACATTAGTATTACTCTCTTTGAAATACGCTTACCATGTCACATAAAAATAAAAGGGAAAGTTTCTAACAAGACAAGTTGTGAAAATGACCTTCAACAATTTTTTTTAGATAAAAAAAGTCCTTTAATTGACGTGCATAATAAATAAGAATATTGAATACTGAGTATTTGATATTCATTTGGACAATTGGTTTTGTTTTTGAATAAAGAACACTTTTAAGATTTTGTTTCCACGTGGATTTTCAGTAGTTATCTAAAAAATCAGGTCGTTAGACTTTGGTAAAAGAAAGGGACAAAAATGTTTTCCTTCTTGAAGTGCATGAAGAATTGGTATAGAAAGCTACCTTACCTTGATGGTGACGAAGGGTGAATTATTTGGTCTAGAGATTTCTTTCTAGTCCCTCCAGTCTGTGTTTGATCCCTTGTGCCTTCCCATTTTTAAAACATATTACGTAGTGAATGGTAGGGGTTGCAACATGAATATAGACAGCTAGAGTAGGGGAAGTATGGAGTCCAGGCTTAGTTATAGCCATTTCTTGAAGCCATAAGACACCAGCCTAGTACATGAAAAGTATGGTGAATAAATAAGGTTGAAGTTGATATTGGGCCATTATCAACTGTTAACTTTTATAAAGATCAGATAGCTTATGAATCAAAATGGTCTCTTGCCTCATTATATTAGGTCACACATACCCCCTAACAGTATCATGTCCAAGCCTTATATGGTTCATAACACCTGTTAATTTCTTCGGTTTGATATTAAAATTGAGTTTCTGTCCAGTTCTAGACCGAAGAGTGGCATTTTCTCGTCAGTTGTTCTTGTGAAACTAACTTGGTTAGCTGTAGACATCAAAGGAGAAAGCCAATTGATTGGAAATAAAGCAGTGAAATTTGAAGGTAAAGTTGAAGATCCGGTGATTTTTAGGAATTACCAAACATTTTACATTATTTTGAAATATTAGCACCGGATCAATTGCTTTGCTACGTACCCAACAAACATTATTGTGAGTCAGAAGGGACAATCCTTTTGACCAGGTAAAAGAATTACTTAAAAAATATCATATAGGACCGAGTGTACACTTCTTTTAGTTGAATTTTGGGAAGAAAAAAGATTGTATTTCTTATGTGGAAGAAAGATTATTTGCCAATAAGGACAAATTCTTACTGATATAATGATAAATGTACCCATAATATAAAGAAGAATATAAAGGAAATCGATGGTGTGTTTTTTGTATATGTGCTCTTGAGGATTTGGAACTGGATTACTTACCATGGAGACATCAGTGTGTGGTTTTTCATTTGAAATTAAGCTTCAGAGATTTTTAGTGTGAATTTGGCTCATAACTGGACTTGTCATTTGATGTTGGAGTAGGTACTTTATTTTTTTACCCTCAATTGGCCTCAGACCCATTTAAATCCCTACCTCTTGGGCGTTTATAACCAAAAAGTTCCCTTCGTTTCTAACTCTTCACCATTGGAGATTGTTGTTGGTTTTTTTTCCCGCTCTTCTTGCAACACGATTTTATTTATCTTGTCCGTACTTTTCTTCTTTCAATCAAGTTCGGTTACTCATACAATAATGATTTTTCTATATTAGAACGGTTGTCTAGCCCTTGGCTTCGACCTTTGCATCATCGATATTTTCTTGGATCGTTCTTATGAAATTTTGAACGATTTCGTTGATCCAGAAAGGAGCCATGACGCCGATGGAAGTATGTCAGGGACTAGGTCTATTTGATCTCAAACAGAGAAGATGGCACATACAAGGAACGTGTGCAATCAGAGGAGATGGACTTTACGAAGGTTTAGACTGGTTAGCTGGAACTCTCAAGGAGATGAGAGCTGCTGGATATTCTTCAGTAGGGACATCATTTTAAAGAGATATAAAAGGTTTCATTCAATTATCCCTCAATCTTTCTTTTTGCCATTTCCAGCCTTTCAAAAATCCATTAAACCTTTTTAGAGTTGTTTGTATTTTGTAAGTTCAGGTTGGCTGGTTGAAAGCTGACTCCTACACTTCGCAGATTTCAAATTGTAATCAGAATTGTTTCCATTATCAAACTTGAAATTATCAGGTGCCTACCCCTTGGCCTTGACCTTTGAACGTTTAACTAGAATGTAATATATATATATATATATATATATATATATATATATATATATATATATATATATATATTATATTATATATTATATCGAAAAATGCAGGTTTGGTGCTAATTAATATATCTTCTATAGAAGCTTTTTGCACATAATTCCCTCTTTTGACACAAATATGTTGATAATTATATCAACATATCATTTTGAATTACTCGATACGACATATTTGTTTAGACCCTTTTTTTAAAATTCTATTCGAAGTGTATAACGCACTGTTCATATGATAATAGTATTGTCGATGAACCTATAAATGTCATTCACTTAAAGTCGGTTGTCGATGTGTTATAAATTGTCTCATAAGGTTATTGCTCATGGATGGATATAAAAAAAAATGGTTATCGCCCATTGATGTTACTATAAAAAGGATGATTGTAGCGTCGAACCTATAAATATCGTTAGACTAAAGTTGGTTGTCGATGTGTTATAAATTGCCTCAGTAAGGTTATTGTCCATGGATAGATATAAAAAAGGTTATTGCCCATTGATGTTACTTCAAAAAGGTTATTGCATTGCTAAGAAGAGAGAGCTATTTGTCTGAGAAAATGATAGTAGATATTTTTTTATTTATTCAAATTATGCCATTAATTAATTTAATTTTCATGGCAGAGTAGTTTGAATTTCAAACTAATTTATATATTTTATGCAAAAATAAATTCGAAGGTTAACTATTTATCTCATATTTATTTATTTTAAATGGTTTGGTTTTTGTAATAATTTCGGAATCTTAAAAAAAAAAAAAAAAAAAAAACCACTAAAAAATACACATGTCCAGGAATAATTACAATATTTATACATTTCTTATTCTTAATAAGTTAAAACATGAATTTATGTATAAAGTAGTGGTTTTAGTAATCAAATATACATTTTTAATACAAAATAGATGAATTCAAATATGAGAATTAATCTGTTGAGGGTATGTCGCTACTAGATCCGATATAACTAAAAAGAAAGAAAGATGAACGATCAAGCAAGATGTCTATTGAGAGTCTTGTATGTAGAAACCGATATGGCAGGAAAATGGAATTAGTTTTCGTTAAACTCTAAGTAACAATTTAATCTCTTAAACTATAGTTTTTTAAGTCTCTAAAAACTGTAAGACTGAAGTCAATTATCTATAACTTCCCCGAGTTGGAGGAATATTGAATCATTCTATACATCACAATGTCAATCTAAAATTTTTTATAAACATTTTTTCTCATCTCAAAGTGATGATTTGTGTAATTAGAACGATTCGAAAATCAACTCAAATCTATTGTGAATAGTCCACGAACCAACTTGATAATACTACTCACAATTGCCTGAGGACTAAGAGTAGCATCAACTTGTAAAATGCCTTCAGAAACATCAATCTGCAGCAAATCAAGCTGGGAGTTCAAAAGAGTTGAAGGCATGAAATGGTTACCTTCTTTGGCTCTTTTCTCTAACCTCAAAGCAATCACCTCAGCTGGAGCATCCAACAGAACGAACTTCACCACACAGCTGATTCCAATTCCTTCATAATTTGGATCAGCTGATCTCAGAATCTCTCTGTACTGTTTTTGCAGAGCTGAACAACCAAGAACTACACTGTTTTTACTACCCATCTTCTCTCTCAACGTACCTCGAATCTTCTCGAGCCACGGTATCCGATCTTCGTCTGAAAGAGGGATTCCTTTCGACATTTTTTCTGCAAGTTTGAAATGATTTTTGAAAGTAATACTTCAGGTAAAATACACGTCCAGTCAAAATAATTTTTACACTAGATACATTGTTTTTAGTTCTTGATGTGTGCGTATTTCTTTATTCGATTTAGTCATATTATTTAAAAAGTTTCAATCATAAGATTCGATACAATAGTAAATGATGAAAAAATTTCTAACATTCAGATCAAAAATATATGCATTAACCAATTGAGTTATGTTGAGTTTTTATAAAATGTAAGTTTATCCTCCTACATGAATGTTATATATATGTTAGAACACAAGATTTGAATTCAAGATTAGATCGAAGCGAACCTAATTCAAGGAATAAAATTAGAATTAAAATTACAAATTTAGTATTTGAAATTTAAATTTTGTGTTAGTTTAATCTTCTCATTTTCATTTAATAGAGGAGTTTTATACTTATTAATTTTAAGTTTCCATTAAATACGAAAATCAAATTTATATCTAATAAAATTAAAAAAAAATGGGGAAATTATGAGACTTTTGAAGATCAAGAACAGAGAATAAGGAGGTCGTGGCATACCCTTGTTAGAACTTGGATGAAAATCATCAGCATCAAGAAAAGTCAAGCCCATGGCCTCGGCCAGCATCGCACCAATTGTACTGCACGCACCACCACACACAAACTCTTCGAATCATCGAAAGAAGGAAAACAAATTCCATTCAACAAAAATCACACAAAAATGCAGATTCGAGATCTTCAAATATCGACTTCAGTAACACAAATTCATCTCAGATTAACCATTTTCTCAACTGCTACCCTAAATTTCATCATCTAAAGCTCTTGAATCAGTCGATCGATGAATCATTACGAGTCGATACGCTAAAAGAAGACGAAGAATCGAAGAATCGAAGAGAAGAACTTACGATTTTCCAGAACCACAGACGCCCATGAGTACGATCGCCATAGCTTGAAATCAGATAAAACGAAATCAGAATTGAATGAAGAAATGAAATTGAAGCATAGAATCGAATGGAATACCGTTCGACTTCGGATCATGCGAGTCCATTTGCCGGAAAGTCGAGATCGATGAAAATTTGGAAAAGGGAAAGAAAAGGAAAAGAATGAAGAACAAGAAACTGCTTCGGCTGCTAATGACTTAAATTACCCAAAAGCCCCCAATGATGAGTAATATGTTGATGTGGATGGATAATTTCGAAATAAAATTATTAAAAAAATATTATCTCAATATTTTAAATTAACAAATACTTAATTTTTAATAATAATAATAATAATAATAATAATAATAATAATAATAATAATAATAATATTAGTAATAGTAATAGTAGTGAATACGAAATAAATAATATTTAAATTTGACAAACTATTTAAAATTTTATGATATTTCCGATTACAATATGCCTTCTAAAGTTTATTTAATTAATAATTTAAAATACAAATATAGTAATTTAGTTTTACAATTTAAGTATTTTTTTATCAGTTTTGTTAATATATTTTAACGAAATATATTTACATATTATATAATTAATTAATTAATTAATTAATTAATTAATTTCCAAGTTTTTGAATCATGAATTTAATTTTGAAATATTATCAGTCGGAAAAAAGAAAAAGAAAAAAAACCAAGAATCCCGAAATAGAAGTAAATTGAAGTCGATGGAGCATGGGCACGGTTTCTCCCTTTCAAAATTCAAAATTTACGCTCTTAACGGTCGCATTTCTTTACAAAATAGGGTTTCCTAAACGGCTAGTTAATTCGTCGATCGTCGTATTTAAGGGGCCTCCGCTTCTCAATGATAGTGAATCGCCTCATTTCCGTGTGGCTGGGTAGAAATTTCTTCTGATTTTCGATTCCGATCGCTATGGACTTCCGCAGCTTGTCAAGGAGAGATCTCCAAGCACTCTGCAAGAGGAATAAGATTCCGGCCAATACCACTAATGTTGCCATGGCCGACGCCCTTTCCGTTCTTCCATTGGTTGGTTATCTTTTTTCCTATTAACTGTTTCTGTAGTTAATCCTTCGATTTAGATTGTTTATTGAAGGATCTGTGGTTATGAAGCAGTTGTTTTCTAGCGAATTTGAATCTTCTTCCTGAGTTTATTATTGGCTCCGTAGTTTAATCGTTTGATTTGGATATGGTTATCGAAGGATCTACAATCTGAAGTGTTTAATTCTACAGCGATCTGATTTCTTGAAAGAACTAGGAATTTTTCTTGTGATTTCGCAAATTAATATGGACATTTCTTTATTCTCCCTTGGTTTTAGGTTGAAGGAATCGAGGAGTTTTTGAACGGCGAAGGATCTGGAGTACCAGAATCACCGATGAAACAAGAGTTTGTTAACTCGGAAATTCTTCGAACTGCACAGAGAACCACGACCAGAAGAAAGACCGTCAAAGATGAGTCAGTTACTACTCGAACACGCCGTGCAGCTGCAGCGAGATGTACAGAGGAATCGGAAAACAGAGATCTAAACGTGGTTTTAACTACTCCGTCTTTAGCGAGTGGCCGGAGAAGAATGGCGGCGGCTTCTTCAGCTTGCAAAAAGGTAGATTTTCAGATGACGGTCGATGTCGTTGAGAAAGAGGACAGCAATTTAGATCAAGAAAAGAATGATATTGAAAAAACGCCTTCTATAGTTGAAAGCCGTAAGAGAGTAGCGGCTGCTTCGACACGTAGAAGAACTGAGACTCGGAATAATGGAGCTACGGAGCGACGAGTGTATAGTACAAGAAGGTCTGCTAGATTGTTGGAGAAGAGCATGGAGAGCTTGAGTTTAGGAGGTGACGAGAAAAGGGAGCCAATTAGTAGTGTCCATATGTCTTTCGATGAAATGCCTGACAGTATAGGTTTGAATTTTATAAATACCTTGTTCTTCAACGCATATACATTTGTATAATTGAGAAATTTGATGATTGATAGCAATTGGTGCAGGATCTGTGAAGGAGTATACGAGCATAGAAGTTGAGTCTGTGAAGGAGGATACGAACATAGAAGTTGAGTCTGTGAAGGAGGATACGAACATAGAAGTTGAGTCTGTGAAGGAGGATACGAACATAGAAGTTGAGTCTGTGAAGGAGGATATTAGCATAGAAGTTGAGTCTGTGAAGGAGGATACGATCATAGAAGTTGAGTCTGTGAAGGAGGATACGAGCATAGAAGTTGAGTCGGTGAAGGAGGATACGAGCATAGAAGTTGAGTCGGTGAAGGAGGATGCGAGCATAGAAGTTGAGTCTGTGGAGGAGGATGCGAGCATAGAAGTTGAGTCTGTGGAGGAGGATGCGAGCATAGAAGTTGAGTCTGTGGAGGAGGATGCGAGCATAGAAGTTGAGTCTGTGAAGGAGGATACGAGCATAGAAGTTGAGTCGGTGAAGGAGGATGCGAGCATAGAAGTTGAGTCTGTGGAGGAGGATGCGAGCATAGAAGTTGAGTCTGTGGAGGAGGATGCGAGCATAGAAGAAACTGAGTCAAATAAAACCGATGAAAGCAAATTGGATGATGATGATTTGGAGGAGTCCAAGAAACCCGATAAAAGCAAATTGGATAATGATTTGGAGTTGGAAATCGATAACCAAGTGAAGAATAAGCTGGAGTCTGAAGTAAAAGTTTCAGAGGTTGAACCAGAAGTTGATCTTGATTCGTTGAATTGTCAAGCAGAAAATCTTTCTACTGCACAGAATGATTGCTCTGAAACAGAAGGTAAGATAAACAACCATCAATAACTTTTCTCAATATGTTAATAGCTTTTCTCCATCTGTTCATTGGCAATACTTGACCGATCTATGTATATTATTTATATTACAGCACCCGACAATAATCTGAATGTGAAATGCCTCCCTGAAGTTGAGGAAGCAAATGAAGCTTCTAATGACGATGATGCTGGGGAGATTTTTGCTGAGGAAATCAAAGACTCTGACAATTTCTCTCTCCCCACTGAAGTTGTGGACCAGACAGGAGTTTACAACTCGAGTATTGTAGAACAATCCAGTAAGGAAGTGGAACAAAATGAGTCTATTTGTGAATCAGAATGCGGAAGTGAAGAAGATGCTGAAGAAGAAGCCGAACTCACTAACATTTCAGCAGAATTGTCTCCTCCCCATGAAAATGTGGAAGAGGAAATCGAAGATGATGATGAACTCATAAAATATTCTACTGATTTATCTCTGCCCCATGAGGAAGAACAAACCCAAGTCGATGATGACTTGAGCAATGTTAAAGAATCTGTTATAGAAGTGAAAGATGACGATTTGGAGTTGGAAGAACCGGAAGTAATGGAGACGGTTTCAGTTCAAGCTGAAAAAGATGATACAGTGAACTCCATGGACTTCCCGGAGACTGTTTCTGAAGAAGAACTGGTCGATATCTTGAGCAATGTTGAAGAATCTGTTGTGTTAGTGAAAGATGACGATTCAGAGTTGGAAGAACCCGAAGTATTGGATCCTGAAGACATCAGAAATGTCGACGCCGTGGAAGAACCCGAAATCCAAAACGACATCCGATGTGAGGAAGAAATAATTCCCGGTTCCTCAAACATCAAGATCAATGGAGTTCAATCATTACCCTCCTCTTTCGAAGCTGACCAAATGGCATTGGCAAACCAATTTCCGAGGCCGACAGTAGAAACCAAATCACCAGTTAAAGACCAATCCATTCAGCTGCTAATCGACAACTCAGATACTGAAGAAGAAGATGAAGATCATAAAGAACAGGACAAAGAAATCTTGATTCAGAGGCAAAATGTGGAGAAAAATGATGTAAGCTTAAGACAGCTGCGAAAGATGTTCAAGCAACAACTCCAACTTAGCAAGAAGAAAATGGACAACAACGACAACAACAACACAAAAGTAAGCACTGTTCTTCATTTATAAGATCTGGGTTTGATTTCTCTCCTAATATATAACAATACTAATACAATGTGTGATGATTATAAACAGGTTGTTGGTGGTGGGGGGAAGCTGAGAACTGCTTTACAGCCACTGGAAGAAAACAGAATGGTAGCCATGAATGAAGTGGAGAAGAGATTATAGAAGTCTTCTTTATTTCTACTGGTTGAGGAGGGGAGAATTTTGTGGTGCTGCATGCATGGGTTCAAACTGTGGTTTGCCTTAATAGTTTGTCTGATTCTTGTCGTTGATGATCCTTTTACAATAATGCTGTGTAGTTTTTGATTTCTCAACACAACAAAAACTAGCAAATTTTTGCTTCCTTTAGAGAGAGAAATATAATACATTTCTATCTAAAATTATTGTGTTCTATTTTTTCTAGCATATGTTGAGATGAAAGAAGCTGTGTAGTTTTGTTCTTAATTTTGATGCAGAAATTAGTAATTAAACTTTTTTTTTATGGAATTTTATTTTTTAGATTTGATAATTAATAAAAAAAAATTATTTGGTTGGATCAAAAGTGTATTTTATCCTAATTTTAAAGATTATGAATAATTTTAAAATTTAGATTATATGAATATTAATATTTCACTAATTTTGAATTATGCCAACATTCAATTTTCATTTTTATGTCTGAATTTTACTATGATAATTTCTTTTAAAGTTTTTTTTTTTTTTTTTTTTTTTTTTTTTTTTTTTTTTTTTTTTTTTTTTTTTTT